CCTCTCAGCAATCTCCTCCCTTGGAGCAATCCTCTCACCAGCCTCTCCGCGGCCAACTCTCACTCCGATCTTGAAAACATCGACCAAGTACACCGCATTCGTCACCTGATCTCCTCACTGCGGAAGGCAAACCATGGGAACTCCAGAAGTTAAAGCCTCCATGGTGTTAAGATCGTAGACTCGCTATTTCTCGATTAATCTTAACGTGAATTAAATGAAGAGAAACTTTATTGCAAATGAAATCGAGTACAGGTGCAAGATAAAGAATGAGTAATCGGATCTTCCTCAACACGAGAAATCCGATTCACTCCTCACGATCCCTCTCAACAAAGTTCACGCCTCAAGACCTACGTCTCTCTCTCTCTCTCTCTCTCTCTCTCTCTCTCTCTCTTTTCAAAATACTTGATAAAAGAAAGTAATATGGTTCCCTCTTTATTTATACGACAAAGGTAAACCAATAAGAATACGCCCGCTTAGCTTAATTCTCCTTGTTGACTAACAACTCAGCATCCTCTACTTCATCATTGATCTTCTTCTTCTTGCGGATATACATATTGAAGGGCTTATCAATACCCCCCCTCTTTGAAACAAAGCTTGTCCCCAAGCTTAAAGCCAGGGCATTGGGTACAAACCTCCTTTCCAAGCACCCAAGTATTATCAAACGAATCCAGATTCTGCCACTTGATAAGAAACTCCAAACCACCATCATTATTATAACGAGTTTCGACAATCTCCTCAGGAACAATGATCAGCTCTTCAGGATAGACCTCAGGTAAGTGGGAAACCTTATGGTCCTTGCCCAATACCGCTTTCAACTGGAAGACATGAAACACTGGGTGTATGCGAGAGCCCACAGAAAGCTTCAAGTGATAAGCTGTTTTACCAATGCGCTCTAGCACCTCGTAGGGTCCGTAGTATTTTTGCTGCGAGTTTCTGACAAAGCCGCCGAGTGACCGACTGTTGGCGATATGGACGAAGCTTAAGGAACACCATCGCACCCACCTCAAACTCGACGTCGCGATGATGCTTATCAGCGTTATTCTTCATCAGCTGTTGAGCATGTACTAAATGCTCTTTTATCTGTCCTAACATCTGATCTCGTTCGAGCAACATACCCTCCAAATCAACATTCACAGTGGAGCCTTGCTCAAAACAAAATATACTTGGAGGGTCCCCCTCATAAACCACATGGAAATGAGTGGTTTTCAATGTGGAGTGGTCGGAATTATTGCACCACACTCAGCCCAAGAAAGGAATCTAGACCACGTACGGGGGTGACTCGAGGCAAAGCAACAGAGAAACACTTTGAGGCAATGGTTAAGGACTTCCGTCTGACCGTCCGTTTGGGGATGAAAGAGTGCAGCTTCGTTCCTGCCATCCGAAACAACTCTCTCCAAAAGGAACTCAAAAATATCTTATCTTTATAGGACACAATCGAGCTCGGGAATCCATGAAGATAAATTACTTCGGCGATAAACTTCTTCGCGACATCGCTGACCTGAAACGGATGCCCTAACCCAATAAAGTAAGCACTTTTGCTCAACCTGTCAACCACCACAAATATCACATTAATGCCTCCCAAAGTTAGTAACCCTTCCACAAAGTCCATTGAGATGTCTTCCCAAACAGCAGTAGGGATTGGTAAAGGTTGCAAAAGGCCAGCAGGGCATAAAATTGAATATTTATGAGTTTGACAAATCGGGCATTCGGCAACATACTTCTAAACAGTCTTGAATAAACCATCCTAGTGAAATGACTGTTGAATCCTCTTTACTGTCTTTAATGCACCTGAATGTCCACCACTTAAGCCATCATGACATTCAAATAATATGAGGGGAATGAAGGAAGATGATTTGGAAATAACGAGGCAACGTTTATATCAAAGTTTCCCGTCTGCCACTGTGTACCCTACTCTTAAAGGATTTCCTTTCTATCATTGACTAATTATTCTCTGAATCTGCTCATTGTTTTCAATCTCTTTAAACAGGTCTTGCAGTTATAGAGAAGTGGGAACCGTGAATGACAGAAGAGTGGATATCACCTGCGTAGGCAACTGCAGTTCCATTTGTGACAACCCATCAGCACCCTTATTCTCAGTATCCGGCTTAAAGAGAATGTCAAAATCGTAGCCCAATAACATAGTCAGCCATTTCTGATATTTCATACTGACCTCCCGCTGTTCCAATAAGTACTTTAGGCTTTTTTTATCCATATGCACTACAAACTTGTGGCCCATCAAATAATGTTTCCATTTCCTTATTGCCATCACCACTACCATAAGTTCTCTCTCATACACCGGTTTCAACTGCTCTCGTGACGTGACACCATGGCTGAAATAAGCAATGGGTCTATTGTCCTGCATCAATACTGCACCAAGACCAAACCTCAAAGCATCTGATTCCACCGCAAACATCTTGTTAAAATCCGGTAACACTAAAACTGGAGCAGATACCATTGCGTGCTTCAATCTATCAAACGTGTTTTGTGCTTCTGGAGACCACTGAAATTGATCTTTCTACAAGAGGTCCGTCAATGGTCAAGCTATAGATCCGTAGCCCTAACATCTCAGGTACCAACTTTTCCATCGCCTCTTTGTGAGCTTGAGAGTAACAATACAGTCTCACACTTATGGCTTCAGTCCCTGGTTTCAAAATGATCCCATGTTCATGGCCACGAACTGGTGGAAGACCCTGCGGAGTATCAAACACCTGTTCAAATCCTGTTAGCACCTCAGAGATCATGTACGGTATCTTTGGTGCATCATAAGTCACCACTTTCTGGCTGTACAATCGAATTCCCACACCATTGTTATGAATTGTAGCTACAAGGGCAAGGATTTCAAGGATATAAGGACTTGTTGTAACTCTGAATCGTCATATAGTGTAACCCGCTTGCCATTAAGTAAGAAGTTCCATTCGTGTAACTCCCAGTCTACTTCACACTTGTCCAATGTTCTCAGCCATTGAACCCCCAGGACTATATCAATGTCGCCAAGGTCTAAAGACATGAAGTCAGGGAAAAACTGAGTCCCTTTCATTTGAAATGTGACTCCTGGACACACTCCTGCCCTATGTACCAGTATGCCCGTGGTTAGCAGGATCTGTAAATTAGGTTTTTGTTTAAATGGGAGTCGAGCTTGTATCACTATGGCTGGAGTCACAAAATTGTGGATGGCTCTACAATCAATCATCACTGTGACTGGTGTCTGGCCAATCATACTTCTGAGTTTAGTGGTATTCGGGGAATCTTTACCCAATAAATTGTTAAGAGATAGCTCTGATTTACGGTGTATTCTCCGCCTCTTCTTCCTCTCAGGTTTCCTAATTATCGTCCAGAACCTCTAACTCATAACCATTAATGACTGTGAGCACTCACAACTGTCTATTCGGACAAATATGTGAACGAGACCACGGGCTTGGACAGTTGAAACAGATTTTGTTGTCCTTCTTGTATTTTAACTCGGCCTCTGATAAATGTATGCGAGGTTTGTCCTCAGATCCCCCGGTTTTACCCACAGTTTGCCCTACCTCCGTTTTAGTATTGTTTTGCTGGTATCCCTGACCATTGTTAATCCGGTTGGTGGTGGGAAATCGTGAGGAGGAGCGAAATAGAGTATAAGTCGTAGGCGTAGATAAAGTATTCCCCGGTTTAACTCCACTGTCCACTTTACAGAATATACTATCTTCTATTTTAACCACTGTTGCTTTATGTTCCGTTAATGTCTTAGGTTCCTTGAGCTTCACCACTTCTTTCATCTCTGTTTTCAAATCCCGGTAAAAGAGATTAATCAGATTCTTTTCATCAATGCCAGTAATCTGAGATGTTAACTTTTCAAACTCACTGATACAATCCTATATAGACCCCGTCTGTGTGATGCTACACAGTCTTTTCCCTGGCTCCTCATCAATCGATACAGCAAAGCGATCTAGCATTTGTTGCTTAAACTAAGTCCAATTTGCGAATGGTGCTTCTGCTGATTCACTCAAATATTAATTCAGCACTCGCCATTCCAAACTCAACGAAACAAGCTCCAGTTTGTCAAACTCACTATACTTGGATACCCAAAAGTACCGCTCCACACAGCATATCCACCCATACGGCATGTGTCCATCGAATAATGGAAAATCAATACATTTAAGAAGATTTTCCTGTTAAACTAAGGCTGAGCTACTATTTCGATAACCTAACGGCGGTTCATCTGGTTCAGAAGCAGAATGAATCGAGATTACCTGCGGATCCGTTGTTATCGCGATGTCTTAGCCATGTGGTTTACCGCAGAAGGAGTGTGCCTCCATCCGAGCTAAAGTGTTCGCAATTGACAAAATCTGATTCTCTAATGTCTCTAGGCGTTTGTCTGTCGCCGATCCCGAGTTGTTGATCTTTGTTTCGAGATCGCCGAATTTCTGATTCATTTCCGATTACGATTTGGCCAAAAGTTTATATCTCGTCGATAGAATCGAGACCTGTTGCTGTAATTCGTCAAAGCCCTTATCCAATTGCTCGATGTGTTCAGAATTTCCCTCTGTCAACCCCATCGCGTAGCTCGATCTGGATCACGACGCACCAGTTGTTAAGATTGTAACCTCGCTACTTCTCGATTACTCTTAACGTGAATTGAATGAAGAGAAACTTTATTGGAAACGAAATCGAGTACAGGTGCAAGATAAAGAATGAGTAATCGGATCTTCCTCAACACGAGAAATCCGATTCACTCTTCATGATCTCTCTCAACAGATTTCACGTCTCAAGACCTATATCTTTCTCTCTTTTTGCAAAATACTCGATAAAGGAAAGTAATATGGTTCCCTCTTTATTTATACGACAAAGGTAAACCACTAAGAATACGCCTGCTCAGCTTAATTCTCCTTATTGAGTGCCAACTCAGCATCATCTCCTTCATCACTGATCTTCTTCTTCTTGCGGACGTATGTATTAAAGGGCTTATCACATGGTTGAGTTCCATCCACAGTGACTTAAAAAGCAAGAAACCACAGGATGAGTTAATACTCTCTCTTGTGGACACCATTCCACGATCTTCCCTTTTTCTTCGAGCTCTCGAGGCAATGTGGTTCTAGATTAAACCCTTCCATGGGAGGTCGAACCACCCATAAGAAGGACAATCCGGAGGTGAGAAGGCCGTGAGCGATCTCATTCACCTGCTCGTGCTTCAAGTGAACCACAGTCCCAAAGGATATGTAAACAATGGAGGATATCTCTCTTGAGTCAAGCCAATCTATACAGTGATCAGTGGACTCAGAGACGTCTCTCTTAATGTCAAAGCTTATTGTTTTAGCCATATTGAAGAGCGGACCGATGGGGTTGATAGTGACTTGAGGGTAGAGCTGAGACATGTGATTGATGATGTCTTTTTCTAGTTCTTCAAAAGTATATATGAGAACATAGAAGGGCTTGTGAAGTCACTTGATCTGTTCTAAAATGACTTTTTGCGTAAACTACAAAGGTAGATGAAGGGTGAAGAAAGCTTGGGATCTCTTCATACTTCAACAATAATGGCATGAAAGGGACTTCAACGTTGACCTTCGGATCTATTTTGGTTGGAAAGTCAACTAAGCGGTGGTTGTAATAGTAATACACGGCGAGGCAAGCGGAAGGCTGAATCCAAAGAACAGCCGAAGGGATTTAAAGCTCCTCGCCCAGATCGTATACCCATGGGAGAAAGGCATTGTTTATGAGACACCTCACCGGTTGCTTCTCATATTTCTTGACTAGGTTTTTGATCTCTCGTTTCCGACGACTTCAAGTTGTGATGGTAAGAAACCAGATTCAGCTTTGTTCTTGACGTCGTAAACAAATACATGGTCGAAGAACTCGAACTGAATGAAATCTAAACCGACCGGTATGACAACACCGTCTCGAATCTTGTTGGATTCACGCTCGCATCTTCTTGCCACATGACTCCTCTGTGAAGAGTGGTGACCAGGGCCAACCCCGGGCATAAGCTACAGAAGCGATGGATTAGGATATCAAGTTCATAATGGGTATTTATATATATAAAATGTTTAGATATGTAGACAAAATTTTAAGATTTTTTTTAATAATAGTAATATAAAATTTATAGAGCTTTTGTAAACAATATTTATGGGCTTTTTATTAACAAACATACTTATTAAATTTATTACCAAATAATTATTAATTTAACTGATAAAATTCTCTTTTTCAGATTTCAACTACAATTGTTTTTTACTTTTACTGTTTTTTTTATAAATCTTTTATGAAATGGGATTTTTAGTTTGAAATTGGACTGTTTTATCAAGTTTTAACTATGACTTTTCTAATATTACCTTTTTATAATTTTATATACAATATATAAAAATATCTATTTTAGATTTGTATAGGATATTTAAAATCATTAGATCAGCACTGGTGGTGACAAAGGTAAAGAGTAAGCCTTTAGAGGCTATGAGCTTTCCAAGACGAAGAAGAGGGTTTATGTGACCTTGGCCTGGGGATGATCAAGCATCACATGAGTCAGCGACGGTTCCATCTCAATGTGTCCTACAAGAAACTGCTAAATTTTCTTTACCTTCTCCAATTTGATAACATCTTTTTTTTTATAGTGAAGGCATATATAGTAGACAATTATATTTTATAAAATGTTTTTTAGTAGTCAAATAATTTGAGAGATATAAAAAAGAAATCAATCTTTCTTCATTCTCTCTTCAAACAGTCTTTTGATGGATTGGTTTTTTTTTCTTTTTTGCCGAATCTAGTTTGATGTATATCATATTTTTGGATTTAGTCTCCATCATGCATGTTTTTCAAATTTTTTTAGGTTGTGTCTCGCTCTTTGGGAGGGTGTATCGAAACTAAATTTTTTGGAATTTGAAAAGATTTGGAAAAATTGATATGATTTGATATTAAAATTATATGAAATCCCACCTAAAACAATGGGATTTGTGTTTCTATATTTTTAACTAACAAACTTCATTAAATCATTTAAAAATACTCAATATTTTTTAAAATCCACTATTTAAATATTTCTAACAACAGTAGATTTGATTTAGTTTTTATAAATTATTGATTAAATAACATAGATTTTTAAATGATTTTAACTAGTTTTATCTAAATTTTATGTTCAATAACATCAATTTTGGTGAGACATTAAAAATTATTAATTAGATTTTTAAAACAACCACTAAATCTTCTAAAATTCTTAAAAACAACCACTAAACTTTTTAAGGTTTAAAGTTTCTGTTTTTGGGAGTTTCGTCATCAGTTTTTGTAATTTTACTTCGGAAAAGAAAAATAACACCGATGAAAAAATGTCAAAGGCCCAAACTGAAGCCCATCACAAACTAAACTATTTGCTCCCGAATGAACTTTTCATCCGTTACAAATCGACGAGAAACAACTCCAACGATTCACTTAGTCTTTTTCCCCATCTCGGTTTCGTGCTAATCCGTTACAAATTGAAAAAGCAAAATAAATATTTATAAACACAACCACGTGTAGCATGGGTCAAACCCTAGTCTATACTAAATGAAAGTACTTGTTTGAGACTCCGGAGAGTGTCCACGTCAACAAAAAAGCTTTGCCTAAAATGATGCCACATCAGATGAGTTACAGAAACTGTAACCCTAAGCTACGACGACAATCCTCCTCCCAAAGCATAATGCCTCCCAGTTTGCCATATGATATAACTTCCTGAAAGTCCAACCGTTCTACATTCCATCCATTTAATCACTAATTCTTGATAACATCAATACCCATCTTAAATTTAATCCATCAATATTTTACTCTTCCTTTCTTTACTTTCGATCATCGCTATAAATCACATCCAGCAAAAGGAAAACAATGTTTTTCTCACGCTTGATTCCGTGACGGACCTTTCATCGTACCTTCATCATCTCCTGTCATCACCTAGAAGATTCATCCGCTACCTAAATTTAAATTTATTTTATTTTTTCTTTCTAAAATGACATTTTACTTTCTGCAGAGCACTTATGGGCAAAGAAGAAATTCGGGTTTTCAAAACAGAGCAACGATAAACTGCTCCCAGAGTCTATGCGTTCAACACGACATAAATCAACAATAGGTAAAACATGCCTTAGTGAAAAGGCCATTTGCTTTCTTTAGTTATTTGCTTCTGGAGATTGATTTTAAGTGACACCATTATATATACTGATATCATAATGTCAGATCAATCTTACTAAGAGAGCGATGACAGGTTTGAAGTACAATGGAAGCTAATCGAATAGATCCAACTCGCTGAAAGCCAAATATCTGATTTACTAATCCCCATCTAAATTATATATTAGCACAAAATTTTGAGTGAATTGATAGAGTTCTAAAGATTAAATGATTGTGAATATGGATGATATATGTGTGTTGTTTATTCATGTCACACTTTGATTGTGAATAAACAACACTTTGATGGTGTGGTGATCACACTTTTGTATATAGATTGTGTGATGTTTCATGCCTCTTTTGCTTGAAGGTGCATTCTATAAACCATATTAATTTAGATGCTGTCTGAAAATATTTGTCTGCATTGTCTAATTATCTTAATTGATTAGCTTACAACTTTGAAGTTCCATTAAAAAATAATATTTGATGCTTTCACCTTTGATTTTTTTTCAGACCAATACATTCGAAGAACAAAGAAGGGAAACTATAAATACTCTGGTAGACTTCACTCATGTTACTACAACCAAAGAGCAGTTCTATGAGTGCGGTTTAATATACTTTATCAAGAAATAATTTTGTTTTACTTAGTACAATAAGAGGCCAGACAAAGAGTCATTAATTAAAGCTTCAAATCAATAGGAAAAACAAACGGAGGTAGGGTAATGTAACTTCACTGACTTTTGACTATATATATGTTCTTCTTTCTTCGCTTTGTTGTTGACTCTATGATTCGAACCGTACAAAATGAGCTGAGAAAAAGCCTGGCAAGATGAGATGTATCCTTGCTGGGGAATTGAGCGCTCAGAAATGATCAGTTGCATAAGGCTTTCTACGCATAGAAAGGAACAACCATAACGATGAGTAAAATGGAAATATGGGGGAACAAATACGTTCATAATGTAGTATTTTAGTTCTATATCCTATGAGTTTATGCACGATCCAGCTGTCTACACTTTCGGCAAGGTGATCCAGCTGTTTAGACTTTTTGTAAGGTGATTGAAAGTTTGGAGATGTATTTTTACACTATATGTATAAAGACTCCCTGGATTTTCATTATTATAGTGATAGGTTAAAATATTGATGCAATTTCCAATTTCAAATGCTGTCATCTTAGTGCAACTAACAACGTCCATTCTTTCTTCCCTAACATACTATGTTGTTTTTTACTTATTTATACTGTAGTTTGATGATACGTCTTTGGTCCAACTTACGTAAGGGTGTGAATCATTTCAAGGATACTGTGGTGGATCTTATGTTGGAGAGACCATTGGGAGAGTTGCTCGTGGAACTTCTGTAAAAAATAAAAACCAATGCATTCATGAAATGAGGTGTGTTAAGATTCTCATTCTGGTTAAATAGTATTGCGAGAAAAGCATTAATACACATATAAACTTTATTCATATATCATTCTTATGTTTGATACATTTTTGTGTGTGTGTGTGGGTGTGTGTTTGATACATTCTTTCGTCTTTAACTTTGTTAATCTGATGAATATTAGATATTACCTGATAGTGTCAGAGATTCATAAAACTCTTTCAACTTTGCTTTCTGATAGGTACCTTTGTTCTTCGGTCATCAATTCATAACGAGTTGGATCTTTGTCAGAGAGCTCTTATTCAGTCTTCTTGATAGTTTGTCTCCGTTTTTGGCTCTTACATATGGCTTCATGCAGGTTTGCAAAGTTTTAGTCATTTCCATGATGATCATTCAACTGCTTGAATCAGTGGTACGCGCAAATATAAAGAGGATAACTCAACCTTTCCAATTGATTGAACGGGTTGTTGATATAATCTTTGTAGTCACAATTGGATTACACCAATTTTTTAGACTGTAATATATTGTAACTCATGAGTTAGCAAAGCTGTCTACATTGCGAATAGCTTCTATATGTTGCCTACGAATACCATAATATGTTGTCTTTTCAAATTAATGAAGTCGTGTGACTGTTATGTTTTAGTCCATATTTTTAGTTTTAATTATTTAAGCAGTTTTGAATCCATGTCAGAACACATGAAAGCTACCATACAATTTGAACTCATATTGTTATGCTACAAATAGTCAAAATGAGTAATTTATGGCTGGACCATTTAAAACATACGTATCTATTAATATCTTATAAATGAAACACATAAAATATACCTACCATTTATTTATGAGTTTATGTATAGTCCTTATATACAAAATGAAAGAAAAACTAAACAAATAAAAACTATTAAAAGATCTTTTGAGTTTGATTCTTAACCGGAAGAAAGAAAATGCCAACTCAAAAATCAAACATCAATCTTATATTTAGATCTTAAATATAATCAAATCAATATTAATTTTTGGCCTAAACTATATTTCCAAAAATAAAATTAAAAACTTTACTTTGTTCAATTATTTATGTACATTACTCTCCACTTACAAATATAGTAAAAACTTGCAGATAAAAATAGCCGTGCTAACCCCTAGTAATAATAATAAGAGATGATGTGATCTGATGATCTACTTGATTACAGTGGTATAAAAATATAAACCACGAGATTAGCTTATATCCAATAATCTATTTAAAAGTCGTACATAACATTTCGCCAAGGGGCATATGCGCCATGCCCTTAACCCATAAACGCTGCCTCCGCCATTGGTGTCGGGCAACGTATTGCTTAACATATATATGTTTTTCTTAAAAGAGATTTAATGATGAATCTAATTTTTAATCAGTTACTAGTTAATGAAAGGGATGTATGGATATGGATCTGTTCAAAGTCCAACCACTCTAGTCGACGTCAAGTGGTATCATCCGAATTTGAAAAGTGGATGATCAAAGTTTTCCACACATTTTAATACAAATATATCGAGATGACGTTGACATATTATATGAATGATATTTGTAGAAATCACTTCATTGTCCAAAATCCAAATCAATCCCGTATGATAAGGGATAATAATTTTGTATTATGATAATTGTATAAAGATATGTTGGTTTAGAAATCTAGATCCCTATCTTGTCCTATACTATATGTAACTAAATTTGTCCGAGTACGCAGTGTGAAATCATAATTTTTGAAATAATTTTTATGATATTTGATTTTACTAAAGCAGTTGGTTGTAAAAGTAGTGTGATGTTATTTCATTAAATTATGAAACATCACATAATTAATCTGATTACTATCATACTAGGTAATAGCCCGCACCATGTACGAGGTGAAATAATAACTATTTATTTAATATAGTATAATGTCAAAATCATATAACAAAATACAATTGATTTTATATGAGTTGTTTATAACATTATGCTGCAATATTGACAAAATAATTTTTTTATTTATTTTATGAAATATAGGGTAATTTATTTCTAATGTAATTTAGTTTAAAAATTAAATATATATGCGCAATCTGGATAGAAATACGAAGTTACTCTTTATATTTTCTATAATCCATGATTAATAACATGACCTTAAAATTAAAAAAAATAAAGGAAGTATATTTTGATTAAATTATTAAGTATCTAATGCGTTATGATAATAAAAATTTACTACTTTCTCTGTTTCATAATATTAATTTTTTTAAGGTTTTGTTTTGTTTCACAATATAGTTACTTCCTATGAATACTATGTGACCGATTATATTTTTCAATTTTTCATAATTAGTTGAATTATATTTAATTTATATACTAAATGATTACTTTTTAAAAGAAAAGTTGCTTTTTAATCTTTATGCTTTGATGCAAAAAGACTTATATTTGGAAATAGAGAGTATTAAAATTGTAAAAATAAAAATTTTATTATAAAAGTTTATAATAGATTTAATTATTTTTTATACGAATGTGAATGCATATTTAGATTAATCCGTAAAAACTATAGTCATAAGAATATTAAATTTTAAGAAAAAAATTACTGTGAAATTTATTTTAAATACTAAATATACATAAGGATTATATAAAAATAGATTATATATTTTTTTAATAAATTATTTAAAATTGCATTTAACTGAGTCAATACTTCTACATTCTTAACATTTTGATTCAATAAAAATATTTTTAATATCAAAAAAGTTTAATAAAATTATTTTATAATATCCTTACAAAAATATTTTAATTTTTAAAAAGTTATTTTTTTGTATAAACTAAAAAATTATGATATTTAACCTTTTAATCAAAGAAAATATTTAAAATATAATACTCTATTAAGATATTCAACTATTTTTTATAGTTCAACTTTTTATTAATATTTTGTACTTGTTATAAAGTTTTAATATTTATATTATTTGGTTAATTTATATGGTTCTTAAACCATATGAAACCAAAAATAATTATAATAATAATATCTATTAAACTAAGCTTCCTGTTTTTTTATCATTTATGTATTTTTATATTGATTTATGAATCATCTATCTACACATCCTTATTTTTAATTTTAGTCTTTCAAAACATACTTTTATTTATTAATCATTTGAGTAATTTATATTTTTTTATGAATTTCGAATTATAACACAGAAAATATATATATATATATATATTACTATATGAATGATTTGATGATTTATTTTCATACAAAAAAAAATATACTATTTAAAAAAATAATTAATATGATATATTTTTGGTAAGAAATGGAAAAGAGAATATCTTGATGAATCATCATCAATATAATTGATATAAACTAATGTATAACCAAATTAATGTGAGTGGCATAACATGTAATTAATCTAGTAACATAAGTCTATTTTTATAACTTTGCTGAAAATAATTCTGGTGATGACACATCAGCAAAATGGCACCACTGTAATATTTTACAAAATTAAGGTTATTCATTAAAAATGCTTCTCTTTTAATATATAAGGGATGATATGGTATACAAGAGTGCGTAATATCAATATCGCAAAAATTTTATAATCATATTTGCGATTATTTTTTATTTGAATATAATTGAATATTTATGAATATCAAAATGTACTACCCGTCTTTTGTATTCTTCTATTCTTTTCCTTCACGTTTAGATCTGTTGTCATATGAGCACTCAAAACTTACCCAAATTTATGAGTTTCTTTTTCGAACAATATTAAAATAAAAGTATTACGTTATTTGAAACGTTTCGCTCGATACACATAGAACAACGTCGCATAAGCATCGTTAAATCATATAATCGTGTAAATTAACCGGTATGATTGAAATGATATTTACGAGACATTGTTACTGTTTGTCGCTGTCTTTACAGCAACCAACTTGTCCACAAACTCTTGAAAGTTCCTATCAGATGATCCACCGTAAGCGACGGCAGCCTCCGCCTCCTCCTTCCACATCCGAGCGTTTTCTCTCAGCTCCACCGCCTTCTCCCCAACGGTGGCCTCAACAAGTCGCTCAGCAACCTCCTCCCTCGGAACAATCCTCTCCTCCGCATCTCCACGGCTAAGTCTCACTCCTGTCTTAAAAACATCAATCATGTAAACCGCATTTGTCACCTGATCCCCCCACTGCGGGAAGCAAACCACGGGAACTCCGGCAGTTAAAGCCTCCATGGTCGAGTTCCATCCGCAGTGACTTAAGAAGCAAGCTATCGCAGGATGAGCCAAAACTCTCTCTTGGGAACACCACTCCACGATCTTCCCTTTTTCGCCAAGCTCTCGAGGCAAAACATGTGGTTCTAGGTTAAGGCCTTCCATGGGAGGCCGCACAACCCATAAGAAGGATAATCCGGAGTTGAGAAGGCCGTGAGCGATCTCGTCTATCTGCTCTTGCTTCAAGTGGACTATAGTCCCGAATGAGATGTAAACGACGGAAGATGGCTCTCTCGAGTCAAGCCACACAATGGATTCGTCCACGTGCTCCCCGTTAATGTCAGAGCTTATGGAATGAGCCATCTTGAAGAGTGGACCGATGGGGTTGATGATGATTTCAGGGCAGAGACGTGACATGTGGTCGATGATGTCTCGTTCAAGTTCTTGAAAAGTATCGATGATGAGAACAGAGAAAGGCTTGTGAAGCCGCTTGATCTGTTCTAAAATGAGATCCCTCACAGGTAAAAAGCACGAGGAAGGGTGAAGAAAGCTTGGGATCTCGTCATACTTCAACGTTGATGGCATGAAGGGGACTTCAACGTTGATCTCCGGTTCTGTTTTGGTCGGAAACTTAACCAACTGGTGCTGGAAATAGTAATACGCGGCGAAGCAAGCGCAAGACTGGACCCAAAGAACAACCGAGGAGATTTGAAGCTCTTCGGCCACGTCACATACCCACGGCACAAAAGCGTTGTTTATAAGACACCTAACCGGCTGCTTCTCCTCCTCTTCGTATCTATTGACCAGATTCTTGATCTCTCGTTTTCCAGCAACCTCAAGCTGTGAGTTTAACACACCGGACTCAGCTTTGTTCTTGAGGTCCTCGTAAACAAACCCATCGTCAAAGAACTCGAATCGTAGGAAACCTGAACCGACCGGTTTGAGCACGCCGTCTTGGATCTTGTTGGATTCACGCAGATTCTTGCCCCATGGCTCCTTTGTGGTAAGAAAGGTGACGAGTAAGCCTTTAGAGGCTATGAGCTTTCCGAGACGAAGAAGAGGGTTTATATGACCTGGGCTTGGGAATGATACGAGCATCACATGAGTAAGCGACGGTTCCATCTCCAGTTTCCTTGAAAACAAAAAAGAAATCTTCTTTGCCCACTCCAAATGGGGGACCTTTATAATAGAATTGTATACACGTATACGCGAATTTATAATAATAAAAATTTAAATATATTAAAATATTAAAAAAAAAATCAGATCATTAGTGAAATAAGTATAATAAACACACAAAATTAAAACCTTAATATTATTTATTTTCAATTAAAATATTCAAAGTAAAGAATCTGTTATGGGTTTTAAACAACATCAACTCTACTTTTTTTGTAGTTTAACATTTTATCAACTACTAGATATATAATTCACGTTACGCGCGAATCCTTATTAATATTTTGGTTTATTTTTTTAGCTATTATCTTTAACATTATTAAAAATTATATATACTAGATATTTACCCGCGCTATGCTGCGAGATATTTTTCTAAATTTTGTATATATTTTTAATATAATAAAATTATTTTTATAATATAAATGAGTATTATATTTTTTAGCTTAAATTATGTATTTATATGTTTTAAATCTGAATAAAAATTATATATATATAAAATTATAATTTGCTATTAAATTTAGTTAGCTAACTAATTATAAATGTATATATAGGAATAAAATATATAAGAATAAAGCAATACATTTTTAGTATCTTCATGCTAATGGCAAATGTAATCTATTTTCTCCAATAAATTGCCACATGATCCTCCTTTGTAATTATATAAAGCAAAATACCATTTAAAAAAAAATTTATTAATTAATATAATGATTTTAAATTATAAAATTTATTTATTTATCAAATATTTTACTATACACATATGTTTCTAAAACTACCAAACTATAATCAATAACATTCATATCAAAACTATTGCTATTGCTTTAGAACTAAATAGAAAATTATGTTTGAACTCTTAAAATATCGTTTTAATTAAAATTAAATAATTTAATTTTGGTTACTGTAAACATACTTTAACTTGAAAATTTAGCACAGAGAAATTTCATCTTCTTACAAAAATCGAGAAATCGCATTTCCCGTCAAAACAAAAAAAATCTTCATTTTCCCAATAAACTGAGAAATCGGCTATTCCCGCCAAAACCAAAAATTCATTTTCTCATCAAACCTAAAATTTTATTTTCCCGCGAGAACCTGTGTTTTTTTACAAAAGCCGAGAAATTACGTTTTTTTACAAAAACCAAAATAATCATCTTCCTGCAAAAACAAAAAAAAATTGTATTTTCCCGCTAAAATCGAAAAATTTATTTTTCTTGCGAAAACTGAGAAACCGTCTATTCCTGCAAAAAAAAAAAACATTTTCTCGTCAAGCCTAGAATCACACTTTCCTACAAAAACAAATAAACTACAATTTTTCCCGCAAAAACCAAAAATTGCATTATCTCCCGTGAAATTGTGTTTTTCAGCGAAAACTAAGAAATTGTTATGTTTTATCGGTTCAAATTTTTGCTGATGTGTGAGTTTCTTACAACATAAGGCTTTTTGCGTTGTTGTCATAGAAGCATAGTTGATGCTGAGCCTACACTTTTTCAATCATATACGTCTATGTCAAACAAACAGATAGCTAGAATTTTTTTTATTATTTATTTGTTGTTATTTATTATTTGGATTTGGTTTTAGCAAAAAAAAAGAAAACAATCATTTATTTATTATTATTTTTTATTATTTAGGTTTGGATTTGGCAAAAAATAAAATAATAATTTTTTATTTGCTGTTATTAATTATTTGGGCTTGGGTTTGGTAAAAAATAAAACAAAAATTAATAGAAACAATATTTGGGTTTTTATAGGGTTTAAGTTTAAAATTTAAAATAAGTAGATGAGATGTATTAATAAAATGTTTTGATTGGTGATTATTTTGGCTGATTTGTCATGTTTATAAAGCTTAAAAAAGCTGAGGTGTCAAGCCATGGAGAGACTTTAGTATTATTGTTGTGTTGATATTTATAAAAAAATTTATTTATATAAAAGAATTCAATATATAATGTGTAATTTATCCTATTTTTATTTATAAAATTTAAAAAACTATTAGGTAAAATAATAACAATGATACCTATCGAATTATCCAACTTTGACGTACATATACATTTGATTTAGAGAAATATAATCTTGCTAAGATTTTGGTATTATTTTCTGTTTTACGTAGAATTTATATAGTTCTTTTTTTCTTGAAGGTTTATGTGTTCAAATATTTAGTTTTTTATTGAAAGTCTTATTGGTGTTGTGTACCAATGCATATATAATCAATGATTCATGTTGATTCGTATTTAATTTTGTTAGGAAGTTGTAATGATCAGGCAAAATCATTTTTTCCTTCTCCATCATGTATTCCAAGAGTTTTATGTTATATTTTTATTCAGTTTTCATTATTTTAATTGTTAAATCGAGTTATTGTAGACTTTTTAAAATTAATAATTGATAACGATTACTTTTTTTTATACATGTATTGTTAATTGTTAATTTTTTTATTTAACTTTTAAATTTTTATATCATATTAACATTTTCTGATTTAATAAATATGTTGATTTGGATCAATCAAATTGAATTTACCTTTTTTGTTGGACATAATTTGTTAAATTAACTTTTAATATTTTAATTATACTTAATAATTTTTCGTTTGATTAAAAAGCTGATGTGGACCAATTAAATCAAGTTTTTTCATCATAATCATACTTAACATTTTTTTATTTAATAAATATGTTCATGACCAATCAGATCGAGTTTTTTAATCACATGTGGACGCCCTCAATGCACTATACCATCAACTTTTATATATTATACGATGATTTTTTTATTCACTACGTTAAAAAAATTATGTATGCAATAAGTCCTTCGAATATGTTAACTCTATTCCTATCAACTATCTCCAAATAAACACAGTTTTTTTTCTCTTTACATTCATCTCTTGTATATAATCTTTCTGCTTTCTAAAGAAGTTATACTTTTAAAACTCGTGTCAAAAGTTTCTCTACATGATTTTCACTGATCATCTTCTTCCTTGAGCTTATCATCGTCCAATATCGTATCATTAATATATATGATTTCTGTTTCATATAATACTATGTTACAAATTTTGCTTGTAATTAATTTTAGAATTGTCTAATTATTGAATACCAGAAAGACTTTAGATAAATACAACACTCAACAAACAAATAACAAAAGATAAAAATTTGGAGTACCGTACGAAACATAATGGATAAAAATTTGGAATACCGTATAAAATGTTTTAATATTATTAAGACAATATAAAAAAGTATACCTATAGAATGAAATTCAAGAAGTATTATTTTGTTTCGTGAGAAATTATGAAAGATTTTATGTATTTACTAGGCTTTTAATTCGCGCTACGCGCGAGTTTGTATTAATAATTTGGTTTAATTCTTTTTTTGGTTAATATCTTTTAAGTTAGCAAAACTATAATATATTTATAGAAAAATTCTTTTATATAAAAACATAGAATATAATACATATTTTTCCTATTTTTTGTTTATAAAATTATAAATCTTATTAAGTAAAATTATAGTAATGACACCTAACGAATTATCCAACTTCGACGTGCATACATTTGATTTAGAGAATGATTTCCTTACTAAATTTTTTGTGTTTTGTTTTGTGTCCTTAGGATTTCTATAGTTATTCTTATTTTAAGATTTATATGTTTAAGTATATAGTTTTTGATTAAATGTCTCACTAATGTTATGTAACTATGCATATATAAAATATGATTCATCTTGAATCAGATTTTCTTTTTTAGAATGCTACAATAATTGTGTAAAGCTTATTTTTATTTCTCCACCAAATATTTTATGAATTTTAGGTTATATCTCTATTCAGTTTATAAGATTTGTTTTATTTGCAGTTAACTATTTGATAATTTTTGTTTTTATAGTGTAGAGTCTTCACATTATTTTTCACTGCTTTTATCTTTTGTGTTTTTTATTCATGTTTTTGATTTGAATAGTTTATCTACATATATTCTAATTTGAATTTGATAACTTTGTCGTACATTATTATTTAAATAGAATTTTAGAAGGTGTCACTCATGTGATGCTTATGTTGGCCAAGATATAAGTAGTAACTACGTATAAAAATTAGACTTTATTACTTGTTATATTTTAAATGTAAAATTATTTATGTAGTATTTTTTTTTGTTAGTTTTTAAACCATACGCAGTCAAAGTATTAGTCTTTGTAAATTTATATAATAAGTTTTAGAAACTCGTATAACCGACTGTAACTTTATATAGTTATTCATAGTCAATACTAATATTTTAGAAATCATGAATCTTCTGGAATTAAATTTCAAACTAATTTTATTTTAGATTTTAATTTTTTGGTTATTTTACATATTTTTATGGTAATTTTATATATTATTTTATTTATAAAATTTTTTGCATGTTTGATATATTTAAAACATATATATTTTTTAATTAAGCTATTTTGTTATTAATTTTCCAAATAGGTTGCATATATATCAATTTAATCTCTTTTACATAAATGTTTTTTCTTTGTTAAATTTTTTTATACTAATTTTTATTTTTATTATAATGCTGTTTTAACATGCTATAACTGATTATTCTAAATTTTATGTGGACTTCTCTCAAAACTTTATAACATCATTCCTTTTTAGTTAATATTTTTATGTTGATTTTTCAAAACATTAGCCGAAATATCAAGCTACTTTTACTATCTACGAATTTTTTTTTTGATAATTTACCCATCTTGATATTGATTTATATTTTATTTTAACACAAAATGTTTTTGAAACTATTGATATTTTTGAAAAAATAATTTAATCTTTTTTATTTTATTAGTTAAATATTTTTATTTTGATTTTTAAAGTTGTTACTCAAATATGAAGTCAATTTCTTTTTAGAAGAATTTTTTAAATTTAACATTTTGTATAAATTAATTTTTGTCATATTTTTTTATTAATTAGTTTTTAATATTGATTTTTAAGTACTTAGCTTAAATATTTATCTTCTTTTTGTTAGTTAAGTTTTTTTATTATGACTTAAGTTTGTTTATTCTCTTACTAATTTAGTATATATTGATTTTGTTAAATAAATAGCATAGATTTCAAGTTAATTTTCTTTTTTCTCTGTGTTCGTTTAACTTTTTCGATATGGATTTTCATTTTTTCTGTCTTATTTTTTGTTAGTTAAATATTTTTATATTTCTTTCTTCAGTAATTAGCATACAATATCATTTTTAGTTTGTTAAGCTTTTTGTGTTGATTTTCTAAATAATTAGGCTCAATATTAAGTTTTGATGACTTTTTCTTTTGTTAATTTAAGATGAATGTTTTTTTTGTAGTATTGATAGTTTCAAATAACAATTTTATATGTTCATATAACAATTTAACCTTAATATTCTTGCTAAATAAATTACTCATTTGAAATATGTTAATTTTTTCTTTTTTTAGTTTAACCTTTTTATTATTAATTTACATATTTGTTTTTGTTAGGTTACCTTTTGTCACACTAGGTTTCTATTTTATTTTGACAAACGTTATAGATTTGTATTTTTAACATAACTTATTTTATCTGTTTTGTTAGTTAAACTTTTTAATCTTAATTTTTCAATTATACTACAATAATTTTATATTTGTGTATTTTAATTTATTTAAATTAATAATCATATTTAACATTTTTATATTTAATGAAAAATGTTTATATGGAACAATCAGATTGAGTTTATGTCCTATGTGAACACTCTCATGGGCCTAACACATTAACACGGACCACAACTAACATATTTTAAGTTAGCAGTTCAAATTTTAATTGTTTGTCATGATTAAAAATTTGAAATAGTTTAATTATAGTCTTAAATATATGTTTTAATTATTTTGTTCAATATATATGATTTTTTCTTTAATAATCTATTTATATGTTAATTTACTTTTTATTGTTAATAGAAAATATGATATATTTTCTAAACTCTTTCTTATTAATAAGTAACTTAAAATTTAGAAAATTTCCTAATAACAACAAAAACGAAATTAATTAAAATTTAAAAGTTTTTTTAATAAAAAATTAATTAATTTTAATATACAATATATAATTAACTATAGATGATGATGCGTACCAATATAATTGAATTTGTTTAAATCCTATGTGAACACTTTTAGTGGCATTTATCATCAACTTTTATTAGTAATAATAGATATAGTTGCAGGTAATATTTTTCTTTTTCTTCTAAGATGTTTTAGCTTATTTTACCTTTTTAAATAGTATTCTTCTTTTTTTTATATGATTAGTATTTTAAGTTATTTTTTGTTTTTTAACTGAAATATATATTTTTATTTATCTTTGTTTTGTTTTTTAAAAAAGTTTTAGTCGAGATACGTGTCAAAATCTGAATCTGAAATTCTACACCATGTGTCATGATCATGTTAATTACTAACTTTGACACATCCAAATTAATAAAAAAATTAGTTTGACCGATGTAAAATATAACACAATTTTATACGATAATTAAATAATAACAACATTAAAGTTCTATATAAATATATAGTCTTATTAATATCATAAAATAATAATTAACATAAATTTTGCTAATTTCACATAATAAATGATATAATAAAAATATTTTTTTCTTTGAACTTATATTATGTTTTCAACTTTAAATAAAAAAGTTATACACATTTTTTACTTTTTATAGCTATTTGTATTCTGTAAAATGTTTTATCATAATTTAATTCTGTTTTATAATATTTATACTCCAAAATTTGTTTAATGTTATTTCAGGATATTTTTCATAAATTAATAAATATCATAGTTTATAGTATTATTAATTTATAGAGTTTTTATTGTATTTAAAAAGAAGAGACGATGTGAGCTGATCACCTACTTGATTACATTGGTTTACAATATAACCCACGAGATTAGTGTATCCATCATACTCATCCAATAGATTATTAATTAATGAATGTATCAATTTTTATCTACTCAAAGTCAAACTATTTTAATCGATGTTAATAATATCATCTGCTTTTTTATATGATCAAGGTCTTTCCACAGGCGTGTGGTCGTTACAACCAATTCGTGGTGGGCAAGTGATTGATAATTCACCTTGTTAAATTGAAAACCAAGAGTTTTTCCATTATGATTTAATTATGGTTGGTCACCTATGAAGGTTTTAAATTTTTATACATTCTGTAAATTAGTCTAGATTTTGATTTGGGATTTTTCCGAGTATTAAAAAAAAAGTTGCAATATAAAAAAGAAAACTCTTCAAAGGAAAAAGAAATCATACAATATACCGTAGAATTTGGTGTATTGACTTGGTAAAGGACTAAACTAGCAATGGAGAGTCATACCACACAGAACAGGGGAAGAAACGTTAAACAAGAAAACTTCGGGTCAAATAGTGAATAAACAAAACGTTTGGAGATCTTTAGTGCAATTTAGAAAAACATATTGCTAAGAGTTAGAACTCTCCTGGCTTTGCCTCTCTCTCCCCTAAAACCCTAATTAAACCTCAATGCAGCAGTAAGGAGAAGGAGACGAAGACGGCAAAATCTCTTTTGAAAAAAGCTATTAACAATGGTGAAGACTTACCTAAGATATGAGCCGGCTGCTTCGTTTGGCGTGATAACGTCTTTCGATTCGAAAATTGCATACGACTCGACGGGGAAGCATGTCCTTGCTCCGGCACTGGAGAAGGTCGGAATCTGGCACGTCCGGCAAGGAATCTGCAGCAAAACCCTAGTTCCTTCCTCCTCTCGAAGCGGACCGTCTCTCGCCGTTACCTGTATCGCCTCCTCTTCTTCTACTTTGGTAACTTCAAATATTTCATTTTTCGACTAGTTAACATTGCTTAGAATATGTTCGGCTATTGATATATTTGGTGGTTGTATAGCAGAATAGAGCTCAAAAGGTCAGATTTTTGAACGAATTAGTTCAGATATCAGGCTAAATAAATTGTACTAGCTATGGAATTATTGGTGGTATAAACGACTCAATTGCTTTGTTCATCTTAATATACTGCTTTTGATGAAAGTGAAATGGATAAGCTTTTGACTAAAAGCATGAACTTTGTTTGCTCGTATATATTTATATCTGATTTCTTGATGTGCCCTTTCTGATTTTTCCAAGTAAATGTTTCTGGAAAGCTGCTACGGTAAAGTAGAATGTCTTAGATAGTTAGAATACTCATACTGCGTTAAAATTTGTGTCACGACCAGGTTGCAGTTGGGTATGCAGATGGGAGTATAAGAATATGGGATTGTGAGAAAGGAACCTGTGAGACTAATCTTAATGGCCATAAGGGCGCTGTGACTGCACTGCGTTACAACAAGCTTGGATCTATGGTTGCATCTGGAGGTAAAGACAACGATGTTATCTTGTGGGATGTGGTTGGTGAAACAGGGCTTTTTCGTTTCCGTGGTCATCGTGATCAGGTTCGTATTGGGCTAGCTTTGCAGTTCTATCGTGTAGTTCTTGCTGATTCATCCTTTTTCTGTTTCTCATGGCTTTCAAAAGGGTTGGTTGTTTTTTTTTTTTTTTTTTTTTTGACAAAACTAGTGTGCTTTTGTTGTAGATCACCGATCTTGTTTTCTTGGATTCTGGTAAGAAACTTGTTACTTCATCCAAGGACAAGTTCGTGAGAGTCTGGGATCTTGAGACCCAGCACTGTATGCAAATACTTAGTGGTCATCATAGTGAAGTCTGGTCTGTGGATGTTGACCCAGAGGAAAGATTTCTCGTCACTGGTTCTGCTGATCGAGAACTGAGGTTCTATGCTGTTAAACAAGACATGTCGCATGGATCATTGGTGTCAGATTCAAATGCAAATGGACTTGATGCCAGCGGAGATCATTCGACCGAGAATAAGTGGGAAGTTTTGAAACCGTTTGGGGAAATCCAGAGACAAACCAAGGATAGAGTTGCGAGTGTGAGATACAATCATTCAGGAAGTCTGTTGGCTTGTCAAATGGAAGGGAAAACAGTTGAGATATACCAAGTTTTGAATGAAGCGGAGGGAAAGCGGAAATCAAAGCGTAGGCTTCGCAGGAAAGAGAAGAAATCTTCCAAAGACGGGGATGAAAATATAGCCGGCGACGGAGATGCAAGTAATGAAATCGAGAAAGCTGATAGTGTTATTGCTCCTACTGCCCCTGACCTTTTTAAGCTCCTACAAGTCATTAGAGCTGGCAGAAAAATAAGCTCTTTCTCTTTATGTCCGATTACTCCAAGAGATTCCTTGGCGACATTGGCTTTGTCTTTGATCAATAACTCACTGGAGTTCTATACACTGAAGGGCAGCGAGAACGAGAAAACTGCTACCATTGAACACCAAGGACATCGATCTGACGTGAGGAGTGTAGCCCTCAGTGATGATAACACCCTTTTGTTGTCAACCAGTCACAACGAAGTGAAAATCTGGAATCCTAGTATAGGTGTCTGTCTGCGGACCATTGATTCAGGATATGGAATCTGCAGTATGATTGTCCCTAAAAATAGGTATGGTATTGTTGGAACTAGGAGTGGGGTACTCGAGATCATTGATATAGGGAGTGCTACCAAAGTGGAAGAAATTAAAGCACATGGTGGAACTATTTGGTCAATTGCATCCATTCCAGATGACTCTGGGTTTGTCACTGTGAGTGCAGATCATGAAGTCAAATTCTGGGAATACCAAATCAAAAAGGAGCCTGGTCAAGTGAGCTTTCTCACCTTTCCTATGTTATTGACACTCTTAAGTTATTGATGCAATTTGCTTTTTGTCAAGAAAAATGTTTCTACAGTTGCTTCACAGAGGCATTCGTTTTTTTCTTACCACGACGTGGTTTTTCCTTTTGTTCTTCAATTTGGTTTCACGGGTTACTTCTTAACCTTCATTTTTTTTTCGTCTCCTGGTTTATTGGACCCCGTTTTTTTTTTCTTTTTTACTATTCACTTTTAATTACAACAAATGTTTGAATTAGCTGATACATTATACTAACTTTTAGTTGCTTATATAACAATTGTAGAGCTAATGATATTAAATATTCCTGCAGGAGTCCCAGCAACTCACGGTTTCAAATGTGAGGTCTATGAAGATGAATGATGAAGTACTAGCTGTTGCCATCAGTCCGGATGCTAAACATATCGCAGTCGCTCTGTTTAAGACCGTGAAGGTACACATAGCTCTATTATCCTGATTATAGCATATTTAAACTGTCGAGGTTTCAGTTTATTTTCATTTGCCTTATAATTGAAAATATGTTGCTATAATCATACTCACATCATTTTGTTTCCAGGTTTTCTATGTGGATTCCTTAAAATTCTACCTCTCCTTATATGGCCACCAGTTGCCTGTCATGGCCATTGACATTTCATCAGATGGAGACTTGATTGTAACTGGTTCTCAGGACAAAAATTTGAAAATTTGGGGTTTAGATTTCGGTGATTGTCACAAGTCCATCTTTGCTCATGATGACAGGTACTTCCAGAAACTTAACCAAATTTCTTTGAATGGCACATAATTTACTCGACTCTGTATCTTTAATATAGTCTTTTTAGTTAGAGAAATATACTTATATATCAAAAAATAAATATATAGAACTTGTACAATTTAGGTTAGAATCATTGTACAATGTAGAAGCTAGAGTTGAAAATTATGAAAACTATATGGCATTTTATGTGCATGATACAAAATAGAACACTCTTTCTAACAGTGGGTTCTCAATAGACTTTGAATTATTAGTGGAAGCATGCTTTTCTATACTTATGATTCCCTGGGATCACTAAATATTTGTGGTATTCTTCTAACACGTGACTCTGTTTTATAGTATTATGGGTGTGAAATTCGTTCGCAACACCCATTACCTGTTCAGCATTGGGAAAGACCGACTCGTGAAGTATTGGGATGCAGACAAGTTTGAGCTGCTGTTAACGCTTGGTGGACATCACGCACCGATTTGGGGCTTAGCTGTCAGCAATCGTGGTGATTTTCTCGTCACAGGGTCTCATGACCGCTCCATGCGACGTTGGGATCGTACTGAAGAACCTTTCTTCCCCGAGGTAACGCACTACTACTGCTTGAAGTTGGTCCAGTAAAATTTTGCATCAAGAGTCAGATTCAGAAATGTGGTAGATGCAGAAAGGAATCAAATGTGAAATTCGAGCAAGTTCTTAACTATATAAAGATGTTTAAATGGTGATTTGGTAGCAGGACTACATAGATATGTTAGCATTCTGATGAGTTTCTTTGGGTCCATCACTTAAATTTTGCTGGAAATTCTCAGGAGGAAAAAGAAAAGAGGTTAGAAGAGCTGTTTGAGTCTGAGATCGATAACAACGCAGTGGAGAACAGGTACCAGGAGGAAATTCCAGAGGAAGGTGTTGCAGGTTTGGCCAAGAACACGACAGTAGATGTCCTATCAGCTGCTGATTCAATCATAGAAGCTCTAGAGTTAGCAGAAAACGAAAAGAAACGTGTTGCTGAACATGAGGTGAGAACTTTGAGTTTTGCATAACTACATATGATAATTATATGTGCATCTCCCACTTGCTCCTAAGCACTCTCAGGCTAGGTTCATTTCCCGATTGAGCCATGGATTCTGATCTAAGTCATTGCCTACATCATACTGAATATCAGCTGTTTTGCTTATTTTGTTCTTGCCATCATGATTTTCAGGAGGAGAAAACAAGGGGAAACGTCCCTGCTCTCCTACCAAATGCTATGATGCTCGGGCTTTCTCCGTCTGAATTTGTTCTCAAAACCATCTCAAAAGAAAAAACAAACGATCTTGAACAGATCTTACTGGTTAGTTGCTATTTTCCGGTCTCCCAAATCAAAACCAATCAGCCTTTATAATTTCTTATTAAAAAAGGTTTCAGGAAAAGCTTAATCGATTGCCTTTTCCTTTTCTGGTTTTGTGTAGCCTCTACCATTCTCAGATGCTTTAAGGCTTCTCTCCTACATGGAAAACTGGAGTTTGATTCCCGAAAAGGTGACGACACTCTCTAATCTTTTTAACATCAACAACATGTCTCAATGTTATGTATCCTTAGATTCAATAATCTAGCTCTGAAGTGCTCGAATCATAAAACGATTGATGCTTTTTTGGTTCTGAAACTGTTTATGTGAAATCCACGCAGGTAGAGCTAGTTTGCAGGATTGCAACGATTGTATTACAGACACATCACAACCAGTTGGTAACGACGCCGTCTGCACGACCAATATTAAGTGTCCTTAGGGATGTTCTTCACGCAAAAGTCAAGGTAAAATTATCGTGTGACAATAAAAGATATACAGAAGAGTTATCTAGGTGACAATAGTAAGTAATATTTTGAATTTCTGTTACCAGGAAAGCAAAGATACAATCGGTTTCAATTTGGCCGCCATGGATCATGTGAAGGTAAAGTAACTTCACTATTTTCAATTTTTTTCATCGCCGAGTTTGAGAAGAAAACATTATGAACTGTGGTTCTTTGTTTGTTTGTTTAAACAGCAAATGATGGCATCAAGATCTGATGCTCCTTTCAGAGATGCCAAGGCGAAGCTAATGGAGATAAGATCGCAGCAAGCGAAACGCATGGAGGCACGTTTGGATACGAAACAAGAGAGGAAAAGAAAGAAGAAACAAAAGAGATTAGAGGATGGTGGGCATGGTCATGCCTGGGTCTGATTTTTGTGATTTTAATTTAAAGGGGTTAAAGTTAAAATCCAAAATTTTGCTTGTAGTGTGTTTTTATAATATCTATCCGAAACTTGGATTTCTTGTTTAACGTGGCTCAACCAAAATCTCAATTTATTGTTTACTTATACACTCCAAAGTGTCAACTTTCTGAGTGTGAAAAACCCCCTTTAATGGCGTCATCTGCATTTGCTTTTCCCTGTTACCAAAAGAACTTCTTGTGGTAATTATAAGTTGACTGAAAATTTGAAATCATGCTCCTTTGCTTATTTGCAAACACAAAATAAAACGCTGCGTTCGACAGAGAAAAAAACATTATCCAGAAAAATCAGACATTATCACCAATCATCATCCCTCGCTAGCTTCGAAATCCAAACAGAAACACCAGGAAAATGCAAGAAAATTGTCATCTTTAAAGAAAAAAACCACTCTTTTCTCCTCTTCTGCTCCTAACATGGAGACCCTTCTCTCTCCACGTTCTCTCTCCCCTCCTCTCGCAAAACCCACTTCAAATTCTTCGTATTTCTCCAGACCCATCTCTTACCAATCTCCCAAGCTCGCTAAACCGGTATCTCCAGTTACCAAGAACTCGTTAACCGATGCCACACAGGTAAAATTCATCACTTTGATTGAGCCTACGCCATTTTTGTATAGTCTCTGTTCTTGAAAATATGACTATTGTTGTTGCGATTTCATAGAGTTTGGGTTCCGTTGAAGTAACAATTTTGTATTATTTTGCCAATGCAGAAGAAGGCCTAATATATTTGGTTAGCTTGTTTCAAAAAAAATGTTGAATCTTTATCTGTAATTCATGTTGAATGTGTTTGATAAAAGTATATTATACTGACACCGTTTCTTAAGGCTTGTGCAGTTGGGAGGAGGAGCATGATGATGAGTGGCTTGCTCATGTCTGGTTTAATGGTTTCAGAAGCCAATCTTCCAACATCAGCATTTGCTTTGACTCCAGTGTTCAGAGAGTACATAGACACATTTGATGGATACTCTTTCAAGTACCCTCAGAATTGGATCCAAGTCCGAGGAGCAGGCGCTGACATATTCTTCAGAGACCCTATTGTCCTCGACGAGAACCTCTCCGTCGAGTTTTCTTCGCCTTCTTCCTCGAAATACAAGTCGCTTGAGGACTTGGGATCACCTGAGGAAGCAGGGAAGAGAGTACTTAGACAGTACTTGACTGAGTTTATGTCCACTAGACTCGGTGTCAGGCGCGAGGGCAACATCCTTACAACTTCCTCCAGAGTTGCAGATGACGGTAAACTCTACTACCAAGTCGAGGTAAAGCCAAAGTAGTCAATTACCAAAACTTCATCCTAATTATGTGATGTGTTGTTCAGTTGAATTCATCATAGGACGACTTAGATCATGTGATAGTTGAGTTTGATGATAGGGAGGAGGCTTATGGTGCTTATTGCTGAAACAAAGTGTGAAGCTTTAGGTGGAATTTGGATAGAACCAGGCCATCATATTTGTCTTGTTTGATTTGGAGTTGCATAAGAAAGCGATTGTGTTTCTTGATCAATCATAAGAATAGTTTTCTTGATCAAACATGTCTTGGTTTTGCAACATTTCTTGATCAACCACAGTGTTTCAGAGTTGCTCAAGAAAATTTGTTTTTTTTTTTGAGCAAATCATAGTGTTTCAGGCTTCGTGGTTGCAACAAGATGTCTTATATTTCGGTTCATTTGAAGCTGCAACATGCATTGATGCTCTTGTGATAAGGAGCTTGTTCTTGTTTCTATTTCTGAAACAAAAGTGTGAAGCTTTAGGTGATTTGAACAAAACCGGGACATTACATTTGTCTTGTTGATTTAGAGATTTGATCAATCATTGTGTTGCAAGATGTCTTGATCAATCATAAGAACAGTTTTCTTTGATCAAACCATGTCTTGTATTTTTGGGTTCATTCGAAGCTGCAACACGCGTTACAATGCTTTTTTTTTCTTGAACAGGTGAACATAAAGTCATACGCAAACAACAACGAGCTCGCAGTGATGCCGCAAGATAGAGTGGCTCGTTTGGAATGGAACAGGCGCTACCTTGCGGTTCTAGGAGTTGAGAACAATAGACTCTACTCATTGAGACTCCAAACGCCTGAGAAAGTCTTCCAGGAAGAAGAGAAAGATCTAAGAAGAGTCATGGAGTCCTTCAGGGTCGAGAAGATTTAGAGAATGCTTCACATTTCTCTCCATTGGTTTCTCTTGTGATATCAAAATCTTGTTGCTGGCTATGTTCTTCCTCCCATTCTATTTTTGACAACCGAACAAAATCGATTATTAACCATAAACCAAATTGGTTAAGTATTTCCGGTGATCGTTGAATCGATTTTCGATCAGAAAATGGTTAAACAGCCTATTAAGCTTTAAACCGACCTATTCATCAACATATGAAGCGTAACCAAACTTTACCAAAACCGGTTAATCTATAACCAAATTGATAAAATATATTACCGGTTATCTGTGAAGGTTCTTTGTTCGGTTTAAGGCTTTCGCAAAAGCCCTCCTCACTGGGAAAAACGGAGAAGTTGAAAACGAAGACGACGATGGTGGGATTTGAGAGCTACGTGCTTGTTCACAACATAGCAAAGCGGCACAACGTCGGTACTCTAGCTAGAAGCGCGACGGCGTTTGGTGTCACGGAGCTGATCCTAGTCGGACGCCGTGACTTTAACGCCTTCGGAAGCCATGGTTCCGCTTCTCACGTCCGTTTCCGCCATTTTCACTCCCTCGCCGATGCTCGCACCTACCTCAAGGTATTGATTTTAGTATTTTGGGAACTTAATGGATCTTATCAATACAGGATTCAAATTTTGAAATCCTGTGTTTCTTTTGTTGTTTTGGATTTACTAAAAAAGGAAGAGAAAGATTGCGATATATGCGGCGTAGAGATTGCAGACGGAGCTGCTGCGGTCAATGATCATCCTTTCAAAAGAAACACAGCGTTTCTTCTGGGTAATGAGGTAATCAATCCAAAAACCTAATTTCCACAAACCCCCTTTGAATACAGAAAATTGTTTTTATGCATCTATCACTGATCTTAGCTTTTGGACATAGACAAAGGATCATGTGATGTGTACTTTTGTTTGCTATGCTTGATCATCATCTTTAGTTGATTTCATCTTGTGAACAATGAAAGACATTTATGAGGTAATAAAAGACTTTGATTTTCACAAAATCTTTGAATATGGCAACTTAGTTTAGCATTTTAACTTAGTTTAGAATTTGTTTCTATGAACAAATTCCAGAGATGCAACAATGTCGAATTCATCCACGAATTGCTTATTTTGGCTTTAATGGTATTAGAGACTTATACCATTACTAAATGGCAAAGTTTGTGCCTTTGTGTAGGGATCAGGTTTATCCGCAAAAGAGTATGAAATATGTGACTTCTTTGTATACATACCTCAGTATGGCTGTGGCACCGCCTCCTTGAATGTTACTGTTGCAGCTTCAATTGTTTTGCATCATTTTGGAGGTAAATTTTTCTCCTGTTTTTTATTTTGCTTATGCAGAGTCGTAACTCTGTGAGGTCATGAGGTGTGACGTTTTAGTCATCTATAGAAATGATGATAGTGAGGATTGTCTTGTGTTAACAGTTTGGGCGGGATTTTCTGAACGTGACCGAGATGGAAGCAAATTTGTAGTGGCAGATAAACCCGCAAGGCAAGGGAGACGGAATTTCTGTGCTGGTACAGAAGAATCCATCGTTGAAGAGCGGAAGCTGAGGAAAGAAAGCTCAGAAAATGGGTTTTTCGATGAGAATGGAAACGGAGATTCATCATCGTCCGAGCTTCTGAACGGTTTGTTCCTTAACGAATGATTGTCTTTGAAGAAAAAGAACAGAGACTTTTGATCTTAGGTTCAAATCATGGGGAAGATCAGGAACATCCCTTTCAATATATACTATCAAGCAGAGTAGCTCCTCGCTCTTGTTCATTGCTTAACTAATCTTTGTTTTGCAAGTAGTGAAAAAGCTGATTACGAGAAGTTGATTTACCTTTTTTGTATGATTATGAACATGTTTGAAGATAGTTTCAGGTGATAGAAGAATCTCATTGCTCTGTCTTTACATTAATATTTTTTTTTTTAACGGTTTCTTTGTTATTGAGTCTATATGCTCATGAACATGTTAAAACATCCCAACAATATTCTTTCTTTTATTAAAACTTCAGTTTACACATGAAGCTTCTGTATTCTTCTTTTGAAATGAAGTTAAATCCAACTTCTTTGATTTTGTTTGTTCATTTTCTTCGAAAAAATCAAAGCTTTTTTATTCACAGAATAAAATTCCAACAAGTTCTCATCATGCTTCAACTTGAGCAGCTGCTAGCCTTGCAATGGGAACTCTGCAACAAAATTCCACAAATTTACATCAATATTTAGAATGCTTTTTTTACCAAAAAGAATATTAGAATTTGATTGAACAGTAACTAAATATACCTGAAAGGAGAACAAGAAACATAGTCAAGTCCTACTTTAGCAAAGAATGCAACAGAAGATGGTTCTCCTCCATGTTCTCCACATACACCAACCTGTTCATTTCAAACTCAGATTAAATCCCAAATTGTACTTATGATTCGAATTCGATTAGTCAAAAACAAAAAAAAAAACTTACCTTGAGGTTAGGCCTAGCTGCTCGTCCTTTTTCAGTTGCCATCTTGATCAATTGTCCTACACCTTTCTGATCAAGAACCTGATCCAAACCACAAACAATAGCTTCAAGTTTCTACCTTTTGGATAAAGCAAATGAAATTTTATCAACTTTAGTTACATACCTCAAAAGGGTCATTCTGTAACATTCCTTTGGCGAGGTAAATCGGTAGAAACTTGCCAACATCATCTCTACTGTATCCAAACGTCATCTGCGTCAAATCATTTGTACCAAAAGAGAAAAACTCTGCCTCTTCTGCAATCTGTTTCAATAAAAAGATTCCTTCTTTAGCAAGTTCCACTTGAGCATGGCTTAAACAATATAGTGTAATAGTAGATTTACCTCATCTGCAATGAGCGCGGCTCGAGGGATCTCGATCATTGTCCCAACCTTGTAGCTCACGGTATGTCCCATTTCAGCAAATACTTTCTTTGCAACACTACGGATTACATCAACTTGGTGACCCAATTCCTGAGGAGTTCCTACAAGTGGAACCATGATCTCAGGAAGAACAGTAACGCCTTGTTCTTTCATTGACGCTGCTGCTTCAAATATCGCACGCGCTTGCATTTCCGTTAGCTCTGGATACGAGATTCCAAGCCTACAATGTACAATATCAACCGTTCATTAGGATGATGATTCTTCAGTGATCAGTTCATACAAACCTCAGAGAGAGAAAGAAAACCTGCAACCGCGGAAACCAAGCATTGGGTTCACTTCAGACAGTTTCTCAATCCGTGACAAGATCTCGTCTTCTTTCATTCCTGTTTCTGCAGCTAGCTCCTGTACTATGTTGTCCAAATCACCTTCAGGGAGAAACTCGTGAAGCGGAGGGTCTAACAAACGGATTGTTACTGGTAAACCTAGAAAATAAAGATCAAAGCTCTAGGTATGTTTAAAGTTCTACATTTTAGAGAGAGAGAGAGAGATGAACAAAGATGTTACCATCCATTGCGCGGAAGATCCCTTCGAAATCTGAACGTTGGTAAGGAAGTAAGACGTCTAGAGAAGCTTTCCTCTGTTCTGTTGTAACCGCCATTATCATCTTTCTCACTGCTTTAATCCTATCTGCGCCAAAGAACTTAACAACCAAACCAAAGGAAAACATGAAAACTTGAACCCCAAAACATCAAAAAAAACATGGGATCAAGAACAGAGAAGGAGTTGTTACCATATGCTCTGTTCTACAAAGCCCAATCCCTTCAGCTCCGTTTTTCCTTGCTGCAGTCGCGTCTTCAGGCGTATCCGCATTCGCCATAACCTTATTGTATCATTCGACATTTGAGTTAAAAAAAAAAAAAAAAGCTTAAAAAGGAAGAAAGCCAAACAAGTTAACAAGAGACTTATAAAACACCTTGAGACGTCTCATTGCGTCAGCCCAAGACATGAAAGTCTCTAAATCTGCACTTAAAGCTGGAGGAGCCAATGCTTGTTTCCCCAATATAACCTCACCCGTTGATCCGTTCATCGAAATCCATTCGCCTTCATTTATAGTCAAATCTCCAATCAAAAGAACCTGTTTTTCAAAACCCTAACTTCAGAAACAAGCTTCCTCCAAAAATTTCAAAGATGACAACATTTTATACTATCGAATCAAAAAGAACCTTGTGGTTTTCGTCGACGCGAATCTCGGAGCAACCGGCTATGCAACATTTTCCCCATCCACGAGCAACAACCGCCGCGTGTGAGGTCATTCCTCCTCTCGCCGTCAATATACCTTCCGCTGCGTGCATCCCTCCAACATCGTCAGGGCTTGTCTCTGTTCTAACCTAAACATCTCATTACAAGATTCGTTCAGATTTTCGCAATGCGTCATCGGTTTAATATTCAGAGATTTATAAGTTTTGAATCTTACCAGAATCACGTTTTTGCCCTGAGCATGCCAAGCTTCGGCTTCCTCCGCCGTGAACACAACCTGCCCAACCGCCGCTCCTGGAGACGCCGGTAAGCCTTTCGCCACCACTTTCTCACGGTACCCCGACGGATCATGAAACTAACCCAACAAAAAAAATCGAAACTTTCATTGATCTCTGTTTTGATCCCTAAACCCTTAAACCCATTTGTTCTTGTGAGGAATGTAAGTTTTTGAACTCTCAAGTTTGTGACTTTTGTGCAAAAGAAAGTTGAGCTTTTTGAGTCTATATATACATTACCTGTGGGTGAAGTAGTTGATCAAGATGTTGAGGCTCCACCATTTTGATGGAAGAAGATTTATCTACAAGCCCTTCATTTACCATATCAACAGCTATCTTCACCGCACCTTTACCCGTTCGTTTACCGGTTCTACATTGCAGCATCCACAATCTCTCTTCTTGCACCGTGAATTCGATATCCTGCAAATACACATTGTTGTTTCAAACTAAATATGTATCCCCTGTTTTCTTGATGAGTGGTACTATGAGAATTGTATGTATTATACTAACCATCATGTCTTTGTAATGCCTCTCTAAGATGTCACAGTTCTCTACAAGCTCAGCGTAAGCCTGTGGCATTAATCTCTTCATCGTATCCAAATCTTCTGGTGTTCTAATCCCCGCAACCACATCTTCTCCCTGTCCAAAACGATTTAAGTGTAAGAAAAGAAAACGGTGATTATAATTCAAAACCAATTAGTTTGAGATGACAAACCTGAGCATTGACAAGAAACTCGCCGTAGAGCTTCTTCTCTCCGGTGCTAGGGTTTCTTGTGAAGAGAACACCAGTCCCTGAAGTGTCTCCCATGTTTCCAAACACCATACACTGAATGTTAACCGCGGTTCCGATCAATCCGGTTATCTGGTTAATGCTTCTGTACTTGATCGCTCTTGAGCTATCCCAAGAATCGAAAACCGCTTCAATCGCTAGCTCCAATTGCTTTTTCGGATCTGTAATTAACCCGAACAACATTTATGAAACTAAAACTTGAATGTTGTTACTTAGATTTCGGATAAAGAAGTAGTAATCAAATCCAACCTGAAGGAAACTCTTGACCCTTGACCTGTAAGTAAACACTCTTGTACTGCTCAACCAATTCCTTGAGATCGTCCGCACTTAACTCGGTGTCATTTTTGACTCCTTTAATCTCTTTCATTTTCTCTAGCTTCTCTTCAAATTTGGAGTGTGGAATCCCCAAAACCTTTTTTTGTTCAAGAAAGCATTGTAAAGGTGGTTAGAGAGAGAATTCTTGTTGTGCAAGTTACCTTGGATTGTTATAGAACAGAGGACTTACAACATCTCCAAACATATCAAGAAAACGCCGGAACGAATCGTAAGCGAAACGCTCACCGCTTTTGGCGGCTAAACCGACGACGACTTGGTCGTTTAAGCCAAGGTTAAGTACAGTGTCCATCATACCGGGCATTGAAATCTACAATACAAAGATCGATCATGATCATAGACAAGTTAATGTTTTTATCTTCTTTAGTATTTTGTATTTATACTTTGGCAGGACAAATACAAATTTAAACCAATTTTTTTGTAAAAGATTTGCCTTTTTTATAAAAAAAGCTATTACCATCTCCAAATAATTATATACCTTTTGACACAAATTTGTTTTTTTTATTCCTGATTAAAAAAGCCTTTTCTACTGCTTGTTTTTTTCTTAAAAAAAAGCATATAAATCAAGTTCATGATAGAAATGTTTACTTACGGCGGCGCCTGAGCGAACGGAGAGGAGGAGTGGCTTGGAGGGATCGGCGAGGGAAGCTCCAATGTCACGTTCGATGAAGCTAAGACCTTCTAAAATCTCTTCCCATAAACCTTCAGGGAGCTTCTTGCCGGCGATCTGATATTGCCGACAAGCCTCCGTCGATATGGTTAGTCCCGGCGGCACCGACAAGCCTATGCTCGCCATCTCCGCCAGGTTCGCTCCTTTACCCCCCAACTATTACACAAAATTTAACATTCTTGATTATAAAAGTTTTTTTTTTTAAAAAACATTGATTTAATCATTTGATGGTATTAGAACATACCAAGGACTTCATGCCCTTGTTGCCTTCGCTTCTTCCTTTTCCAAAGGTGAACACTCGCTGCATCATGATTTTTTTATTTTTTTGGATTGAATTTAGATTTCAGAAACGTTTGTGCAAGTTAAAGAAGACATGCATACGTATCTATATATATATATATATAGTAAAACAAAAACTAGATAATCAAATCTATCCATTCCAACTTGATCAAAGCTATCCGATCCAACTTAAATTGGACATGTCTATTCTCTCTATCAACTAAATATAATTCTTGTAATTTTAACTAAAATAAAAATAGACACCATTTAAAACCCAATAATAAACCAAATTAATAAAAAGACAACCCTCAAAATATTTTAAATATATACTATAACATAAAGTTATATTTTACGGTATTTTCGTTAATAAAGATATATTATTTTTTATATTGTTTTAAAAGTTATATCATAGTAGGACATAAATCTGTGTCTTTTACACAGAAATATCAATTATATGTATATAATCGGTCGAAAGTTCATGTAATATCTTCAATGAATATTCTATAAGTCATTACACTTTTGATTGAAATTTGTTTTTTCATGGTGTCAGCAAACTACATCATTATCTTTTTAAAAGATCACTCCAAAATTTCAACCTCGAAATGCTAAATGTGTGGTGTTATTGACCAAAAATTATAGATATTTCCATTCGGTGACTCGTCATAGATGTGTCAACCATATCTCATCACGCAGACACTTTACCACCACTCTTTCTTCCGAATATTCTCTTGAACAATATTTTTACTAATTAGAGATACCCGGGGAAAAGAATACTAAATTGTACCAACATGTTGTCATTTGAGTTATTTCTGAATATCATTTTGAAAAAAATGTTTTACTCAAATACAACTAGGCACTAGCTCGTGTCATACCATCTCAACATATAAATTCTTATATGGTGAATTTTGGGTTTAATTACTAGTATCAAAATTACTTTTATTTGTTAATCAAGAGTCTGATTTGGTGTTCTTTTTTTGTTGCCACTTGGACAGATTCTTCACGTATTCTTTTGTACAATTACAAAACGTGGTATTGGTGGATCTAGCTAAATTTGCATGGTTCCTTTCAAGCTTTAGCCACCAAATTGGTCTGTGAATTCATTAAAGGATTTTAACGGAAAATGGCACTAATGAAAATTTTCAAAAATATCTGAATTTCAAAAAGTTCATGGTTCCATTAAATAACAAAAGAATAGTAATGTCATTCATTTTTGACAAAAACAAAGGTCATTCATTAAACATAGATCGAAATTGGAAAGCCGTTTTTATATTAAAAAAAAAAAAAGCATAGATCGAAATTATTTTATATCTACCACATCAATTTTTCATTGTTTTTTCTTTCAATCATTTCATATATACCACTAATATCTATTTTAATCTATAGTGATCTCGTGTATCAGTTTAAACCGTTCGATGTTTAAACAAGAGTTGCGGAACCATCAACATCAACAACAACAAACCTTTTCACAAGACAAAACCAATGTCCCGATGGCGTAACAGGGAGAACAAACCAAAGCATTTATGTCAGGTTTTCACTCGCCTACGGAGTTTGATTCAACTAATAATACTTGAGTAGGATGGTTCGACCCGATGATCCGTTATTATTTCTATTTAGAATCTCACGTCTAAAATGATACGAAACCTATGAAAGTGCATGACCCACACCCACAAGAAAGATCAAAATGGAAGACTCACCTTTTTAGCTTGGGTAGGGGCCGGCTCGGACTCGGACACAGGGCTAAGGATGGCTCGAGCCTTTGTTCCACGAGGCAAACCGGTATTTTCTATGCCTAACCGTTGGCAATGGATTGAACCGATGTTATCAAACCGGGATGATCCATTACATAGCCGGTATGATCGACTAACCAATCGGCTTTCGCCGAGATGATCCGTACGGAACACTCCATCTCCCTTGAAGAACTCTGTTGTTGTCTTCAGGATCATACTTTTCATTTTCTTATTCAAAACATAAAAACCTAAAATAAATATAATTTATCTTCTCTTGAAGAGTTTGTATAGGATGAATAGAAAATATATAATTTTTTTTTTGGCTTGCGTGAAATAGAAATTTGATGGTGAGCTATTAGCGAGCGTATAAATGGCGGACGTTTTATAAATAATTTCTTTCTCTGACCCTAATTTATTTTTATGTTTTTTGGTTCTTATTAGATACATAGACTTTATGTGATCTGTTTTTCTTATATTTTTTTTTAAAAAATTGGGGGTTTATAGATTTTGGTTTGACGATTGACGTGAGTTGATGTTATGTAGATGTGGTTATGATTAGCCAATGTGTCTATTCCATGGTTGTTCTTCCGTTTTCTATCAACGACCAGTATAAGTGGCCACAATTTAAATTTAATTTCTACAAAATTATTAGGGTTTGAATAGGAAAAAGATTTGAAAATTCTATGAGGTCATTATATAGTTCTAATTCTATCTAGAAAATAAAACTAAGCTTAATTCTATCTTGTTTTTACGTGATATTTATTGGTTTATTTCCCACTAGTTAAGAAGAAGTTCAAGAAATAATTGAGATCGATGGAGTACAAATTTGTGATTGTAAAGTGTTTGTGGTGGTGCTTGGTCTGAATGCGACTTGCCAGGTTCCAGGAGAGGTATGTGGCCATTTAATTCAACTATATTTAAATTTTACATTTACATAAAAATTCTATATATTTATATCATCATTTTATTCAAGTTATATTAGAACAATCTCGAAGATTAAACAAACGAAATGAATACAATTTTAAGTTTTTGACTGTTGATTGTTTAAGAAAACTAACTTGAAGATAAATGTTTTAGTTATTCCATACGATTTCACCATGTTGTCTATATATACTGTCACAATAAATCGTTTTACCAGATGTATTAACGTTGTAAATTATTTATCGATCACGAGTGAAGGTAATTGTTTTTTTTTGTGTGAAAACTCCACAAACTTGAAAATTTCAGAAGTTTATGAAGTTGGAGCTTGTATGTCTTAATAAAGTTGTAGTACGGTATTGAAATTTACGATGCAAGCATGAAGTTTCACAGAGCTTGAAAATCATTTTCAAAATTTGAACATTATGGAATCAATACAAAAAGTGAAAAAGAGGGTTATAACTTCCGAAGAATCTGGAAGTGTCCTACACATTCATGCTCGAGTTAACTAATGGACCCAAATGTAATATGGGAGTATATACATGTGCCATGCTCCATGGAACTTTCTGGTGTTTTTTTTTTTGTAAGAATGTAGATATTAGATAACTACAAAAACACAATATAAAATAGTAATTTGTGACTGTCACGGGGAAGATGTGAGCAAACACTTGATGGGATCCGGAAAGGTGACAAAATGGGTTGTATATTTGCAACCCATCGTTTATAGGTTAATACTTAGAGAGTTTATAGTAATTTATAATGCTCTACAGAATCAAAACTGCTAATTGTAAGAATATGATCTTTAACTTTTTCAAGAAAAAGTTGTGTTTTTTCTCTCTTTTCAAAGGTCTTATGAATTATAATCCCATCCATTCAAAGATCACAAATTTTGGCTGACCGATTCAATACCACACATTATGTCATATCACAAACACACAAAAGACAAAGCATACGTGACCACATTCTCTATATCCTTTACGTTCCATTAATCATATCTTATATCTACACTACAGAATCAAACCGGAATCTAAGTATCTAAGTGTCTAACCCAAGCCATGATTGTATTTTTTTTTCTCTGATGAACCCGGGTTTGTATTAGATTTTGCGTGATTTTATTAGGGGTGGGCAAATGAGAATTTGAGACGGGACTTTGCAGGAATGAGAACTGAACGGGAATATGGAAATCAAAATAATTATTCCATATATGTTCTATTCAAAATTTGGGACATGACGGAAATGAGACGGAACCGGACGGGAATGAGACAGGAATTCCCAAAAAAATAATTAAAAACATGAAAATTTGACACTTGTAAAAAAAAAACTAAAATTTAAATTATATTCATCCATTATTCACCTTCTAAATTCTAATAAATAATAATAACATGTCATATAAAATTATAAGTTAACCAAAAATAAATGAAATCAAACTTAACTTAATTATTAAAATTTAAAAGTTTCAATTCTTTTTTAAAAGAGCAACTTAATCCATTGAATAGTGAACACAAAACCACTTATAATCTAATAGTCATATAGAATAAAATAAAAAGTAAAAACCAACATAACTTTCGTTTATATAAAATGTATTAATAAATAATAATTATCACTTTTGATAGTATATTTTAAAAAATATCTTATTATATATTTATATAAAAGTATGTAGTTTATATATAATTCGGGACAAATGTGACTTCGAGAATTTTCATTCCTGTCTCGTCGTGTTCCATTCTCGTCGTGTTCCATTCCCAAATTTCCATACCATATGAGAATATACTTCCATATGGTACAATATATTGGCTTTAACTGGTGACCATATAAGTAACAATAGGAATGAATAGGAAAAGGAATAAAAGGAACAAGATAATAGGAATTATTGTTCCTTCTCATTTTTTATAAAGAATATATTAACATTATAGTTCCCTAAAATATAAAGAATGAGAAGGAATCATGGGTACAATATATTCTTTTTAAATGGTGTATTTTTTAAGGAATGATAAAGAATTTAGTATTCTCTTCCATTCCTTATGGTCACCAGTTACAACCAATACGCAATTGCTATTAGATAATTATAATAGAGAAAATTTTCTATATTAAAGGGGAAATTTATAATTTAGAGCGGGTAGTGGGAATCGAACCCGCATCGTTAGCTTGGAAGGCTAAGGGTTTTAGTCGACGCCCATGGATCATTTTTATATTTTTAACGTCTCTAATTCAAAACCGAACCATAAGAAATGGAAGGGAATACTAAATTCCTTAAAAATTACACCATTTAAAAAAAATATATTGTACCCATGATTCTTTCTCATTCCTTATGTTTTAGGGAACTATAATGTTAATATATTCCTTATAAAAAATGAGAAGGAACAATAATTCCTATTATCTTGTTCCTTTTATTCATTTTCCTATTCATTCTTATTGTTACTTATATAATCACCAGTTAAAGCCAATATATTGTACCATATGAAAGTATATTTTCATATGGTATAGAAATTTGGGATCAAGACTGGGACGGGACAGGACAGTACGGGAATTATGCCCACCCCTAGATTTTATCACGAATTTTTAATATGTCACTAAGATTTGTTTGGTTTAGCCTCGAAATTTAGTTTGGATCCGGTCTATACCGTATCATAACCGAACACCGGTTTATTCTCCTATGGTACAAAAGAACAAACGATTAACGGCTAATGTAAGCTGTAATGAAATCAAATCAATCGATAAATTCAATATTTTCCTGTAGTTTAAAGTTCATGAAAGTTACAACAGAGAACAATCTGAAAGGCTCTTGAGACGCCGCTACTACCACAAACAGCTCCGCCTCAACCGCCATAACCACTACCAAATTCAGATACAAATTCAGATATAATGACAGAGATTTGCAAAACCATTGTTGAGAAAGCTCCTTTGAATATTAAAACTCAAAAGAAAGGTAAATCTAGAAACTGAGACTGTATTGATGTATGAGAACATGTTCATGTGCTTCATAAACAAGCAATACATAATGAAATATTAAATCAAAATGTGTTATTCAGGTTCACATTGCCACTGTAATCTTGCTCTTCCTCCATGCCCAATAGTTAGCTCTTATAGGATCAACACGACAGAGAACGGTACATACCAAATTGGCCAAGTTAGTATCTGGTTCTTCATTAGCCAGAGCTTTCACCGAGTCTCTGTGCTCGCTCGTTGGTCTAAATCCGTCGCATAGAAGATCCAAAAGGGTGCTCAGAGCGAACACATGGAAGCAATCCCTGCGCGAGAGAACACTCAAACAGACTGAGGAAACACTGGGATCGCTAATCCAGGACTCTCTGTCGTCTTTGTAAAGAGCTTTCAGGTATCTCCAAGAGCTCTCGTTTTCAGGATTGGCTAAAATGGCTTTGACTGTGTAGCTTACTTCAGATCCTCTCACAGCTTCTAGGCCTCCCAAAGAAGGAGATCTAGTAATAACGTAATACCTCTGCCAGATTTAAAGGAATGGAGTTATTCAAACTTGGTAATATTAAATTTGGGAAACAAAATCTATCGTTTGTATCAATGGATCATTCATATTACCTGATTCCACGCAGAATTGTTAAAGACGTCAGCTTCAAGGAGCTCGTGACAGTAATCAAGCTCCGTTTCCCATCCTCCTAATGCCCGTAGTGCCCACTGCAGATTGTTTCCCAAACATCAAGTAAAAAAGGATAAGTATACATTAAAGTAAGTGCTTTAAACAAGGTTTGAGAATCGAGATCACAAACCTGCCTATGTGACCAAGCATGATAATGTTTGGCATCAAGTGAAAGTATCCTCCGAGTAAAGTCAAGTTCCTTCCATGCAAAATCAGGACCCAATTTCTCAGCGACCCATCGACGATGATGCCTAGAGAAAAGGAAGAATTAAGAGCAGAACCATCGATCATCACAAATCAAAGCAAACAACCAATGGTTAACTTTTTTTAAGCAGCAAGATATGGTTGACACTATGGACTTTAAATTGTGTAAAAAGAACAAAATTAGATCTCATATATACAATAGTACACTATGGAACACAGCCTCTGAATTTTAACGATTCCCACAAAAGTACACTATAAACACTATTCATAGATAAAGAAAACTTTCAGGAAGACAAAGGTATTAACTTTACCATAATTGGTAGTTCTTAGAGTTATCGTTAGCGAGGCTTTTAATGAACTCGAGTTCTCCATACAAGTCGTGGTTAAGCTCCTCGAGTACAAGGCGCCTGAAATGCCACACCTTCAAAGGGAAACAGTATCGTTAAGAACAAGATTGTGAAGAACAAGCGTTGATGCAATGAGGACTAACAAAAGACTTGAAATCCATAAATTTCATAACAACAGAAGTTTAACAGGTACTGATTCAGATTCTATGAAATTCTACAAATACTTCCAATCAAATTCCCACTTCAGAACAGTACTAGAGCTCAGAAGAACAAGTATCAAGCATTCTACAAAGCATCGAAGAATCATTACTGTGTAGTTCCCGGAGTTTACGCGGAGAGCTTTTTCCGTGATTCGCAGTGCGCGAGGAGATCGCTCGTCGGAGAAGTAAATCGCGCGGAAGTAATCCATAGTCTCTCGGAACTCTTCCTTGTAAGCGATCGGAACCACCGGATTCGGCCCATCGTCCTGAGTCAACGGGACCACGTCCGACCACTCGGCCTGCTCGCTCAGTGGCAAGGTCTCTCCAGAATCCATTTGCGATGAAGAAACACCACTTCTTTGATGTTCTCTGCCGAAATCCAAACTTCGCAAAACAATCTCAAAACTTTAGCTTAATCGAAGCAAAAATTGGATTTTTAATCTAAAAACAATAGAGTAGGGTAAGATTCTACAATAGAATTAGGGTTTATCAATCGCTTCAAGGATCCTGTGACGAAGTTAACTTCGGGATGAGCACAAACCTGACGGATGCGAAAGCGAATATTAAATCTGAGTGGGGAAATCGAAGGACTTGCTTGGAAAGGATCTAATCAAGCGCAGAGGAAGGAAGAACAAAACAGTAAAGGTCGTTTTACAAATTTACATTATTAAAATTTTATTTTTATATATTTTTAATTTTCATATCTATTCCTTTTTCCCTTCTCGCCAATAGTAAACGCAATTGTAAAACAAAACAATTTTTCCGTTCAACTGTATAAATCTGTAAAATATTTTTGGTAAAAAACTTACAGTATTAAACTATTTTTTTTCTACGACAGTGTAACATTTTGGGTGCAAATGGTTAACACAAGGAACAAAATTGAAAGAAATTGTATATTTTTAAAAAATTTCTAAAATTTTACTATTTAAGAGTAATAAATATTCTTTAAAAATTAAATTGGGTCCTATTAAATTAGAGGAAAATAAGCCTTATTTTTTTTAGAATTTGTATTCTACAAAATAGAAGAGTAACACAGTTAAAAAATTCTAGTTGAACATAAAATTATTCAACTTATTTTTTTTCACTCAATATTTTTTTTTTATTATTCTAATATACAAGGGGGAATTACTGAATATGACTCAAAACTTGATTTGAATTGCAAAACTAGATCCTCTATTGCATGTTTGACAAAAATAACTTACAGTGATAGTGAAATTACAACATTAACCTTTCTTACCAAACAAAAAAACGCTCGCTGCAATTATTGTTTTATTTCCGAGAAGTCTACTCTCTAATAATGTCTTTACTATTAATTAAAAAAATCATAAAAAATAATTTGGTAAAAAAATTATCAAAATAACAAAAACATATACTTTTTACACCTATTAAAAATAAAATCTGACACAAAATAATTAATTTAAATAATCATAGATAAATTAGGTTAGAAATCAATACTAAGTAGACTTCTCGGATTCTAAAGTAGACTTCTCGGATTCCAAAGTAGACTTCTCACGAGTAGACTTCTTGGAGAAGTCTACTTTCTTATAATTTCTTTACCACTAATTTTAAAAATCATGAAAAATAATTTGGTAAAAACATTATATACACAAATAAAACAGATACATTTAGCATCTATATAAAAAAAAATCATGAAAATGAATCAATTTATAAGTTTCATAAGTATACAAATCAAAAGGGTTAGGGTTGAGGTTTAGGGTTTAGGGTATAAGAGTGTAATTTTTAGGGTTTGCACAAATTCTATATGAATCATAGTTTATGGTTCAGTTAATGAATCATGGTTCATATATTTGTTATTTTAACTATGACTTGTCAATATGGTAAGTAATTAATGTTTTCATATAAGTTTTAATAAAAAAAATTGATTTAGGGTTTAAGGTTAAGTAGACTTCTCGGACCGAAGTAGACTTCTCTCGAGTAGACGTCTCGGACCAAAGTAGACTTCTATCTAGTAGACTTCTCTTACCGAATTAGAATCAAAAGTCCGAGTAAAATAAAAACAATCACTGAACTGAATAATCTTACTAACCCATTTTTAACCGGCCTATATATTCATTTTTACCATAAAGTAACCCATTCCACAAACCCTAGTTTCTCTCGACTCGTAACCAGCGTTTGGGCGATTTCTTTCGCCATTTCTATCGCCGTTCATACCATCGTCGCCGCCGCTGCTTCAACTCATCACCACCATTTGTAAATTGTCAACGAAGGTAATATATGTTCTCCTCTCTCATATCTCTCACTTCTGTATATCTCTTTATCTGTATATAGACCTTAATCGATTTCGTTCATCTCTTTTCATCGCCGCCTCTGTTGCCTTGTCGCCTCGTCGCCTCGTTACTGCTGGTAATTCTGTCCTCATTTCTCTTTGTCTGGCATCTGTTAAATTTAATTTTTTGCACTAGATATCATCGCCGCTGCTAATTTGGAAATTTTTTGTTTGGATTTACAGATGTCGACGATGCTGTTGGTTGTCTCCGCCGGATTTCAGTGTTCGCAAAGGTAATTTATGTAACTAGTGATTTATTTTAGAATTTGTATCAGTAGACTTCTCTAGAGTAGACTTCGCTTTCGAGTAGACTTCTCTTTCGAGTAGACTTTGATTTCGAGTAGACTTCGCTTTCGAGTAGACTTCTTCTTGAGTAGACTTTTTCGCGAGTAGACTTCTCGGAGAAAAGTAGACTTCTTTCTGAACTAGACTTCTGCCATTTGCTAATAATTATATATTTCTTGCATATTTATGTCATCTTTGGTTTTGCAGGATGGAGAAGCAGCCCAAGTTTCCAAGGAGATTATTCACAAAGGACGAGGAGCCCCAACCTGGGAAAAGTATAGCCTACTACAGCAACAGTAGGAAGTTGTTTCCTGCATTGGAAGCAGATATATGGGAAGAGCTTTTGGAATCAAGGCTTGGTGTTTTTCTAACGTTTTACAAACTGAATTTTGGCTGGGCGTCGAGGGTGGTGTAGTTTATACTCGGTTTTCAGCTGGACTGCAAGAAGAAGTATGAGATATGGAGTCTCATAAATGCAACCCCACTGCGGTTTTCACTCAATGAGTTTGAACAACTCACCGGTCTCAACTGCGAGGATGTTGAGGAACTGGAGGAAGCAGAAGTTACTCCTGAGATGAAATGTTTCTGGGAGAAGCTTGGCGTTAGTATATATGTTGGCCCCACCGTTGATGAACTTACTGAAGCATGTAAGCGTGCTGGGGAGTGGACAAGGGATGAGAAGCTTAGGCTAGGATATTTATCCATCTTCGCTGGATTTATCGAGGCAAGAAGGATGGATTCACCCACACGGTTGAACTATGCCAGGCTAGTCATGGATGTCGAGGCATTTGCAACTTACTCGTGGGGAAGAGTGGCTTTCAAGACCCTTATATAGTCTGTCAAAAAAGCTGATCTGACGAAGACTGTTACTCTCTATGGTTTTGCCAAAGTGCTCCAAGTTTGGGCGTATTATGCTATGCCAGATTTTGGGAGGCATTACAGAAATCCCCTTCCCGACAACCCAACTCCACTGGTGCTGGCTTTCAACGGTTGCCGAGGATGAAAATACATCAAAGAAGCGATGCTGAAACAGGTAATCCTAAACTATATTTGCTTATCGAGTAGACTTCTCCTCGTCTCGAGTAGACTTCTCCTCGTCTCGAGTAGACTTCTCCTCGTCTCGAGTAGACTTCTCCTCATCTCGAGTAGACTTCTACTCGTCTCGAGTAGACTTCTCCTCGTCTCGAGTAGACTTCTCCTTGTCTCGAGTAGACTTCTCTCTAGTATAATTCTTTGCGTAGACCTCTGTAACATATATATTCCAATTGTTTGCAGGTTAGCTTCAACAACTTTTGTGTCAAGGAACGGGAGGAAATGTTCCCTACCTGGGATGATAAGGTAGACGATGTCCTTATCGAGAACGTTGTGGGAGCCATGTTTAGGGAGTTTGGTGGTGGTGGTTAGACGTGGAAGCCTAGTCATTGGCGGTCCAAAGGGGTTAAGAAGTTAGAGGCCACAAAGGGCCAAAAAAGAAAAGTTAAAGATGATGAAAGCCGTGTTGACTCAGACGATGAGAGCATGAAGAAGACTTGTCTAGTGCCTCCTACTGCGATAGAAGAGGAGGGTTTGAAGAGTCTTGCTGAGGCGATGAAGCAACATTTCTCAGAATGTTGCAGAACATTGTTTGGGGAAATAAAGGCTGGGTTTGAGGCCTTCGATAAGAAGTTGGACCTCTTCTCTAAAAAGATTGTTGCCGTGGAGCATACTGTTGCCAAGATGAAAGAGCCAAAGGATGATGAGCATGTCAAGTCAAACGATGGTCGGGTTAGTACCGATCCCTCTCTCAAATCTACTAAAAAGACTTCTAAGAATTCTAAGACTGCTAAGCCTGTTATTCCTTCGTTGAGTCCAGTTCTTAGGCTTACTAGGACAAGAGCGAGGTCTTCCAAAAAGAATTAGATGTTTTTGTATTTTTGTATATTTTCAAAAATTTGTACCTGTACCATGTACTCTCACTTATGTTTTGTTTACTTTAATGAATCCTAATAAATAAAACCGTTTATTCTGTCATGTTGTTCTTCTCGCTAACATGTATAATGCATTATTTCTGAAAACACCACATGATTCCTTCTTGACATCATTTTCATCAGAAATAAGCGGGTTAATGGGATGGAAGTAGGCCGCATATAAGGATTCTCGTGAGTAAGATGGACACACAAGTGTTGACAGTTTCACGTTGGCCTCTTATACCGCTGCAATAACATGTGAGCAAGGGATTTTTTCAACATCATACACACCACAAGAACACTTCCTTTGTTCCAAATCAACAATACAATCTCGTGCTCCACCCTTAAAGAAACGCCAGCCATCAATGGGTTCTGCCTTCAAATCTCCTGCCTCATACTCCCGAATTGCCAATAGATACTCTACTCCACGGGTATAGCTCGTTGTGAGACTTAGAGCATCTTCACGCCTTTTATGATACTATCTCCCGAGCTTTGTTCTTATAAACTCTAACAGAAATTTGATGGGAACCCTTTTGGCTTCCTTAACAGCCGCATTGATCGATTCTGCGATGTTGCTAGTCTTTATGTTGTACCTGTCTCCTGGGAAATGAACTCGTGACCATAACCTCGGGACCGCAGTCTCCAAATATTGAGCAAGTCTGGGGTTTACCTCTCAGATTACGTCCATGTATCGATTATAATCCTAAGTCGTATGTGCATATGCAGCACCTTTCACCAAGTACATGAGTTGCTTCCCGTGAAACTTTGTCATAATGTTTTGCTGCAGATGATAGTAACATATACCTCGTGTTGCCCA